TCCCTTTCTATATTTTTTTATTTTGAGATAGGTTCTTGCTAAATTTCTGAGTTGCCCAGGCTGGGCTCAAACTTACAATTTTCCTGCCTCAACTTTCCAGAATGCTGGGATTATAGTATTGTGTCACCACGCCTGGTTTGTAAAGTATTTTCTTTTTCTTTTTTTTTTTTGCAGTACCAGGATCAAACCCAGGACCTTGCATTTCTGAGGCAGGCGTGGCACCACTAAGCTAAATCACCGGCTGTAATGTTCTTTTGTTTTGTTTTATTTTTTGGTACCTGGGATCAAACTCAGGTCCTTGAGCTTGAGAGGCAGGCGTCAGAATCACTGAGCTAAATCCTCAGCCCTGTAATGTATTTCTTGATGTAAGACACAACCTTCAAGACAAGTGTTTTTACAACATTAACTGTACATTTATGTCTTATGCATTTTTATGAATGTTATATTTCATACCTAAAATGTTTCTCGGTAGTGGTCTTTTTTTTTTTTTAAATATACTGGGGATCAAATTCAAGACCTTGTGCTTGCCAGGAAGGCACTGTGCCACTAAGCTACACCCCTGGCCCTGTGGTGGTAATTTTTAAAAGAATGAACAGGGAGTTTTCCAATCCCTGAAGCCTCCTCTGTCCCTTCACCCTGTGTCTGCTGGATCTCAGCCTCTGCTGCTTGTTCTGACCACTCTGGGTTCACACCCAGAACAGGGGTTCACCAGAGCCAGTGCCCAAGCTGGAGTCCCCTCAGGGTCCACAGCAGAGCGTGCTCGCGGCCTGGCACACAGAGGCTTCATGGAATACTGTGCCAAGCCCCAGGCACACTAGACCTGCCTCATGTCAAGAACACCTTACACTGTCCTCGTCAGAGTCCACATCGCTTTGCCACGGAAAATGGTAGCAGACAACTGCCAACCAAACGAAGGGGTGGTTGGCTCTGCTTTTTTACTTACCTTTCACCCCAAGGCCTTGGAAAGGTCTATTTTCTCGGCCTGAAATGCCCCCTCAAATCATTCTATTGAAAAGGCTCCGCTCCTCTGTGAAACTATGGCCCACCTTTCTCAGACGCCGCAAAGGTCCTTATTTCCCACTGCTGCAGCCTGTCCACACCCTGCTCCACTGAATCCTGTTTCCCAACTTCCTGGGTTGTCCTCATGGCCTGGGTCTGACCCACTTCTGGGCCTTTCGGGTGGAGCTGTAAGTCACCCATAGCATCCCACATGCGCGGACCAGCTCAAGTGAGCTCCACTGCGCTTGCGCTCAGGAATGTTCTGGAAGTGGGAGGTACTACCTGGCGGTTCCCGCCACCACAGACTTCCTGGGGCGCGTTGATTCTGTGCGTTTCCCACAGCCTGCGTGCTGGGCATTCTATGCCAGCCACCAGAGGGCAGTTGAAAAGGGTGGGGCAGGGCCTCTAGGGGTAGAACGTCAGCGGAAGGGCGGCACCAGAAAGGTATCTAGGCAGGGGTCAGAATCTGTCATTCATATGCAGGAGGACCGGTCTTAAGGCTTGAGGAAAGCAACATGTTGTAATTTAGCCCCGTAGTAGTGCCAAAGGCTAAGGCAAATGCAGCTCCCGCTTCTAGGCAGGGGTAAACCCCAAGCAGAAGACTGTCTCAAGTCCCAGAAGATTATGAAAAGAAAGCCTATACTCTTTCCCACCAGACAGCCATCTACCTGGAGGAAAGGGTTCGACCAAAGGGAGTCACAGCCCACCTTGCTGCCCAACTTGTTATTATTACAGTAGAAATAACTCAACATCAGTGCCGCAAACACTCAGGATCCTATTTGCTATCAAAAAGGCAGATAAGGGGCTGGGGTTTTAGCTCAGCAGTTGGGTGGCCTGCCTTGCAAGCACAAGGACCCGAGTTCAATCCCCAGTACCAAAAAAAAAAAAAAAAAAATGCAGATAAAATCCACAAGGAGTGGCTGAGTATTAAAGACCTTGACCTGGGTGTGGTAACACATCCATGTAATTTCAGCACTTGGAGAGGCTGAGGCAGGAAGTTTGCCATGAGTTCGAGGCCAGGCTGGACTACATAGCCAGACCAGCCTCTGCTCTCCCGGGCAAGACTCAATTCCTAGGCTTACCACTCCATCCTTGTACACAGGTCAAGGGCCAGATCAGCTTCTAAGATATGGGCAAGTAGTGTACCCTGCCTTCAGGCAAGTCCAGCCCTGGGGAATCCCTACCCATCACACCAACTCCCCAACTCTGGTTCTCTTTCCCCTTAGGGGGAAAAAAAACATATTGTGAAAGAATCTTGAGTTCCTGAGCCCTTACACAAAGAAAGGGGAAAGGCAAATTCAGCTACAGCCACACAACAGCAGGAAGTCTCTCAGAACAGTAGATGCCCAAGTTAAGAGGTCAATGTCCATGTGTGATAGTGGGAGCCACAGAGCACAGGAATTCCAGGTAAAGAACCGCTGGTGGGCTGTCCTTTCCATTTCATCAGCCACAGGGATGTCTGGCTTACCTCATTTTACTACTTAAAAATCCTGAGGGGCCAGGGATTTAGCTCAGTGGTTCTGCTGCCTGCCTTGCAAGGCACAGGGACGCAAGTTTGATCCCCAGTACAAAAAAAAAAAAAAAAATCCTGGGAGATATCCTTCTCCATGGACATACAGGAGAGTAAGACATGTGTGAACAAGTGGTAATTTATGACTCCAAGGTAGTACTTTGTTTTTTGACAGATGAGCAAAGTGAAGCTCACAGAGGGAGACAAGCCTGTGTAGCACCTGGCAAATATCTAGCATCCTGTGGTACCTTCCAGCCCCTAACACTGGCCAGGGATGCTCCTTCCCTCCATTGAGAAAGTCCTAGAAAGGGTTGGGGATGTGTAGCTCACTAATAGAGCTCTTGTCTAGAGTGCACATACCATGGGTTTAATCCCAGTGCCACCCAAAAGAAAAGGAGTCCTAGAGAGCCTTGATGCCCAACTGTGCCCTTCCAGGGCAGTTTTATTGGTGCCATTTGCAAAAGGTCTTCCCATCAGCCCCCAAATCTTTGCCTTGCCTTTATAAGGCAGCCATTTCTGCCCCTGGCCCCACAGGCTACAACAGACCTTGATCTAATTCTGCCACAACACCCACATGTGAAACTGTGGGTAAGGGTCCAAGTGCAAGTCTGTGTCTGGCTCTAGGGAGCAGGGGGATGGAGAAGAGAGCTAGGTCTGTGTGGGGACAGAGGCAGAAACCTGGTTGACCAGAGATGAGTGGGCAAGGTGAGCAGGCTCCATGTGTACGCCAGCTCCAGGGTCCACTGATGTGGCGAAAGCCCAGATGGGGGTGACAAAATGAGAGATCCTGAGAGAGAAGCCCTTAGGCCAAAGAGTCTGGAGCAGGCCAGGCAGGGACCAGGGAAGATTTCAGAGGGGGCAGTGGATGAGTGGGCACTGTGTGCACTTGCATACGTAGCCAGGGGTCAGAGACATGATGTGCAAGGGCTTTGGTGAGTGTGGCTATACCTCCCACCCTCTGTAATCTGCAAGCCTGAGTCTCTGGCCTCCTGAGGCTGAGAGAACACACTCTGCGGGTGGAGGGAGCTTGGAAAGGAAACTTGGCTGGAAGTGGTTTAGGCCTCAGAGCCCACATCCTGCAGAAGAGGCCGTCAAGGGGCCTGCCGTCCTGAAGCAGTGTCAGAGCTGCTGGAATGACAGTCCTCTGGGGCAGAGATGGTCGTCCTCCGGGGCAGAAGGTGGACCAGAGAGTTGGAAGTGGAGTCAGTCCTGCCAGATCCACGATCAAGAAGCCTCTGATGGGCGCCGCTCTCCATCCTCTTCCATCAGCAACAGGCGGCGCCGGCCAGCCTCATAGTCGGCCTCGTCCACACTGACCAGCAGGCGGACAGCCTCCCGGCCCACGGCCTCACGCAGGGCCTCAGTCAGGAACACGCCCCGCAGGGCCTGTAGCAGGGCACCACTCAAGTAGTCACCCCAGAAGGCATCCAGATAGGAGAGCTCCGAGAACTTGATGTCGCAAACCACGGAGCCCAGGTCCCTTGAGCGAAGCACTGCAGTGGCCTGCCCAAACACATCCAGCTGCCGCGCCAGTGCCTGAGGTCGCCGGGATGCCACGCCCTGCTCCAAGGCCGGCCCGTGCTCACAGTACTCTGCTCGAACCCGGAGGCGGATATCTGTGGGTGGGGGAGGAGGAAACTGTCAGTGGTTGTCAACACCCTGCCACCCTTCCTCCCTCAGCTTCCTCCCACAGGCTCTTCCCTCTGCCCCTGCCTCCTACTGACAACCATACCCAAGGACTGTGAAGTCCTCACACCATTTGCTCTGTGAGCTCTGGCCTGTTACCTCTCCGACTGTGAGTCTCTCTCCCCAGCCTTACCCTTCCTCACTGCTCCAACTTCAGGCAGGCTCCAGCTCAGCCCTGCCTCTCCCCAGCCAGGATCTTTTCCCCAGATTGCCACAGAACTTGCTCCTCCAACTCCTACAGGTCTTTGTTCAAGTGCCCCCTTCCTGATGAGGCCAACCCACCATCCCCACCCTCCTGTAGCATTCCCAGCAGTCGTCCCCAAGGCGCTCATCACCTTCTGACCCACTCCGCAGGCTACTAATATGCTATCATCTGTCTCCCTCAATGACAGCCTCCGTAAGGGACTTTTTGTCTGTTTTGTTCACTTGTACAACCTGTGGCACACAGTAGGTGCTCAGTATACATCTGTGAAAGAACTGATTCATCAACTAAATACACTTGCCTTCAGACAACAAGCCTAATACCACAACAATGAATTCCAGGACCAACCACATCCCTATCCTCCCCAACAAGCTCCACGGAAGTGAGGGACCTAAACAGGCCCTGGAGACTCAAAGCAGATATTGCACTACTGGGAGGCAAGTGCTCTCCGTACACAAGGCTAACAGGGTGGTTACAAGCCCAGAGCTGCTGGGAGCCCTTGAGCCACCAAGAGGAAAGAATGAAGCCCACACAGGGCTAAGGATAGAGGGGAAAAGATTCCAGAGTTCATCCTGGGTCTTCATCAAGGAGCACTGGAATCCTAGCAGGCTGGATCTTCAGTTACAATCAATCCTTTTTTCTTAAACAGTTTGAAGTTGGGTTTCTGTCAGATGAGGTGACAGCTCTGTACAGGGAACAGGTATGAACTCGGGCCTTCTCTTCTGGAAAAGCTCAACACCCACTTGTGAAATGGGGCTAGTGACAGTGCCCCCATTACCTACCCAGCACAGGGTTATCTAAGGATGAGCTGGGAACAGCAGCAGCCAACACTTGTCATCACTCCCAGTACTTAAATCACAGAACTCATTTAACCCACAAATGACCCTGCAAGGCAAGCCCTATAAACATGCCAATTTACAGATCAGGAATGGAGGCGATGAAGGGACTTGCCCAAGATCATATAGCTAGGCAGTTACAGTGCTCAACCTCCTATGCCCAGGGTGCAGGCTTCTCAGTTATGAAGCTGATTTCAACTCAGGACATTCAGACACTGCTGTGCGACCTCAGACAAGATACCTCTTGAAGACAGGTTCCTATCCAAACCAGGACATGAGTCCTGCTGGGAAGTGCTGTTATGAAGATTAAAAGAGGAGTAATGGAGAGAAACAACAATCTAGTGCGATGCCTGGTGTCCAGTGGATGCTCCAAGAATGGCAGCTGCCAATAGCTGGGCTATGTCATGTGCCTGGCATCTGGGGATGTAGCCCTCAGCCCTGTGGGCCAGGAGCCACCTTAGATTCAGACAGATGAGGAAATCAAAGCTCTGGGAGGGGAAGTCTCATGCTGTGGGCTCCCTTTACCTCTCATAGATGTGTCAGCAGAGAGCAGAAAGAAGGAAGGTCCCCTGCACCGCCAGATGACTTCTCACCCCACCCACTTCTTCCTTCCACCACAAATCCTTCCTCTTTCATCCTATTGGGGAACTCCATCCTCTCCACTCAAGACCCAGGGAAGCCTGCCAGCCTCAGCCCCCGGTCCCCTCCATGGCCCTTAGCCCTAGCTCCCTCCATCTTGAGGACCAGATAACCCCTCTGGATCCTCATCCCTGACCCTTGCAAGCATCTGGCCATGCCCTCCCAATGTGGGTAGGGACCAGGGTGCTAGAGTAACAGCAACTGCCCAAGGCCAGGCTGGACAGGGACAGGGACAGAGGCAGGGACAGAGGCAGAGGCAGGGACAGAGGCAGAGGCAGGGACAGAGGCAGAGGCAGAGGCAGAGGCAGACCCAGCCGGCGGAGTCCCACAGACCTGGAGGTGAGTCCCAGTTCTGCCACTCTCTAGCTGTGGGGCCTTGGGCATGTGACCTCACCTCTGAGCCTCAGTTTCCTCATCTGAAAAATACAAACAGACAAACAAGAGGTCCCTGCTGCACGGTGGGGTCATGAAAATTAAACGAGGTAACTCATGCAGTACCTGACTCACGCACGGTCTATGACACAGAAGCACCAGAAACAGGAACTATAATCTCAACACCCGCCTCTCTACCCCATGGCCCCAGCCCAACCCTGCCCTCACCTCTCTCACCTGAATCCCTAGATCAACCCCCTCCTTCATCAACATTCCCAACTGCTATATCCTGCCCTCCAGCCACAACAAAGTGCTCCCCAAGCCTCCCTCACAGAATTGCCCGTCCATCCAGGCATGATGGCACACGCCTGTAGTCTCAGCACTTGGGAGGACAAGGTAGGAGGACTGCTTGTGAGTTCAAGGCCAGCCTGAACTACACAGCAGGACCCTTGTCTTTAGGAAAAAAAAAAAAAACAGGAAGAAAAGAATGTCCCGGCCATCTCCTCCACCACTCCCCACTGAGGGCCCCACTTTCTGACCACCTGATCCTTTTCCAGCTTGCCCTTCTCTTCAGAGCAGGTGTTACTAGACCTGTGTAGAAATCATCCGTCTCTTCATGCAGAGTCCCCACCATGTGGGGGTGGGCAGGGGACAGGGAAAGGATAGATTTATGGGGTCTCCATTCAATAGGAATTTACTCGGTGCCAGTCATTCAAGGGTGACACAAGGGCCCTGCTGCAAGTTGGACAGAGAGATGTGCTGCTCTGCACGCCAGTCCCCACCCGTGAACCTTCTCAGCCTTAGACCATCTAATGCTCCAGACACTTTAATTACTTCCATTTACACATGAGGAAATCCTTCACCAGCCCACAGTCCAACAGAGATCCAGAAAACATGATCACGGGGGAATCAGAGGGAGAGGACTGGGCAAGAGAGGATGAGCTTTACCTGAACCACCACTCCACCCCTGGCCTTGAATCATGTGCTTTACAGGCAACCTCTCCTTCATCCCTCCTCCCTATCCCTATCCTGCACCAGAATAACCACAGGTGACACTTAAATGAAATCTACTACAGGCTGTCACAGTGCTGTTTTTCATACCTACCAACCCTTTAGATCATCTGACAATCTTGGGAGGTGATGCTGTTCTTTTTGCAGATAGAGAAACTGAGGCACATAAGTTGAGTCACTTGCCTAAAGCCAGAATTTTGAGGTGCGTGGCTCCAGAGTTTGAGCCCTTAATTACCCTTATCATGTTCACTTCCTCTCATGCAACCACGTATGCAAATACATAATTAAAAGATACCCTGAAGGCCAGGTAAGAAAATGATACAGAGCAAGTTACAATTTAGTTAGAAACGAGCGAGAATTCTGCTCTAGGAAATGACATTTAAAGTGAAATATAAGGAGGACACATAGAATTAGCCAGAAAAAAATGGGGAGCAGGGGAAAATGGCCCTCTGGAAGAAAAGAGAGCACTTGTTAAAAGTCCAGGGACAAAATAAATAACTTCGGGCAGTAGGATCGCTGCAAGGGGCTGTTGTGGCTGGAAAACAATGGAAGAGAACAGATAGCAGGACCAGAGTTCTGGTCTCACTCCACAGCAGAGAAGCCCAGGCTTGGGGCCTCTGGAGATGACCACACCGCTCTGTACCTCAGTGGGTTCCTTTATGAACAGTGCTCATCCCAACACCTGCTCTGGTGGGTCTATCGTGAAGATTACACAGGTGAACATACTGCCGAGCTCAGAGGAAAGACAGGATCCTCCTACTGAGAGACAACTCTAGCTGTTCTGTACGAGTGGGAGGGAGACAGGAAGAAGACCAAGGCAGCAGACAGATGCCCACGATGGCAGCAAAGGACAGAAGAAAGGTAGATAGACTGGTCCAGGTGTGGCAGTGAAGGGTGAGGTGGCGTAAGCATCCAGTGCCCATGCACTCTGGGCTGAGAGCTGACTGAACTGTTCCCATGTTGGCAGTGGCAGAGAAACGCTTCCATTTCTGAGGAAATTTCTGGGGGACTCTACTTTCCTACAGACAGCTGCTCTTGCATCCTGTGTTCAAGTGAGCCCCAGCACCCACCTCAGCCCAGGGGTCTTTCTTCCAGTACAGAGTGAGATGCACAACAGGGAGGGGCTTCCTGAGAGCAATCCCTGCCTGCACTGGACATCTGGGAGGCCTGAACAGAACCTCACTCCAGTCTTCCCTCCAAGGGTTCCCAGATGGAGACACAGAGGACCCGTGCTCCACAAGCACAGCTGGAAAATTTCTAGCCTAGAAGGAAAGAGCCAGCCAGCATGCTTCCATGGAAACACCCCACCATCACAGCTGCTGCCATACCAGGGCAGCTCTGGGAGGCTTTGCCAGACTCCTGGGTCATGTCTGCCTCACTCCAGCCTCTTGCAGTCATCAAGTCAAGTTCTTCATCTCCTACTAAACTAACAGACACACAACTTCAAAAGGTAAGCAGCCAGCCGGGTGTGGTGGCACACACCTATAATCCCAGCACTCAGGAGGCTGGGAGGCTGAGCAGGAGGATTGCTGCAAGTACCAGGCCAGCCTGGGCTACATAGTAAGTTCAGGGCCAGCCTGAACTACAAAGTGAAACCCTGCCTCAAAAAAAAAAAAAGGTAAGCAGCCACTGCCTGCTTCCTGATACAGAACACATTAGCACCTAGGAAGCGAGTCCAGAAAAAAAATCAAAATATCCAATCAGAGCTTGATTAAGTCTCTCTAGAACCAATTTCTAGAACATACACAATAGGGGAACACATTAAATCAGCCCTCGTCAGGATGTGATTAACCAAACCCAGTCTTTGGGAAATGCTACAGAACAACTGCTCTGCACAAACATAACGATGGGGTCAGGGGTGGGAGTCGAGATGACAGGGAATCCTGAATATGTGGAGAGACTTTGGTTTATGTGGGGTTTTTTTGGTTTGGTTTTGTTTTTTTGGTACCAGGGATCAAACTTGGGACCTTGCACTTGAGAGGCAGGTGAAAGAACCACTGATCTAAATCCCTGGCCCAGGAGAGACTCTGAAGAACCCGAATTTAGAGACAATTGTAGAAATCTGTGCACTGATGATATATGTGATAATAAGAATTACTATTATAATTTTTTGGTGTGACATTTTAAAGTATTTTTCTCTTTTGACGATACATAGGGAAATATCTACTGCTGAACAGTTAAGAACAGCTAAGACAACAAAATAACATGGCTCATGACACAAGAGCAGCCACCGGTGACAACAGCTAAGGCTGGTTGGTGATGGATTCTCACAGTTATTATAACCAATGAATATATTTTGGTATATTTTTTATAGAAAAAGTTGGAGTGGGGGTAAGCAAAACTGATCCTGCCATACAAATCCTCCAACTGCTTTCCATAATTCAAAATATGCAAAGCCTGAGGCCCAGGGTTCACAGGCCTCTGCAGGATCTGCCCTGGTTACCTGTCCTGCCCTCACCTTTAGCAGTCTGCCCTTCGTCCTGTCTCTTCCAGCTCTGGTAGCTTCCTCACCACCCCTGACCACCACATACACTCCCACTCAAACCTTTGCTCCTGCTCTCCCCTCCTGGAACACTCCCCTGACATCTGAAGCTTCAGATTCGCCTTTCCCTTCTGACCAGAACATGAGCTCAGCCATGGCAGGGGGGCCCCCCAGCCCTGCTAAGTCCAGCTAGTAAGCACTCAAAAAAATAAATGGACAGCTGAGTGTGGTGGTGCACACCTGCAATCCCAGCACTCAGGAGGCTGAGGCAGGAGGATCGCTGCGAGTTTGAGACCAGCATGGGCTACACATTGAGTTCAGGGCAATCTCACTACATAGTGAGAACCTGTCTCCAAAATAAATAAATAAATGGACAGCCAAGTGTGGTGATAACATGCCTGTACTCCCAGCACTCAGAACACTGAAAAGACTGAGGTTAGCCTGGGCTACACAATGAGTTCAAGGCCAGGCTGGACTTCATGGCACGATCCCGTTTTAAAAAAGGGAACAAACAAACCCACCTGTGCCAGTCACTCATACTAGTGACTTCGTTTCTTGGCCTGTCTCCTCCTTTGAACTATGGGGGATGCCAGCCCTATCTTAATGGTTGTCTTGAGAATTCAAATCAGGAGAGGAATATGTCTGGCTCAGTACCCAGTGCACAGGTACTGTCCATACAGGTATGGAAGCCCAGCACCGGCAAGTACCCTTCTTATACTCTCAGGTACTTGGGAATTCACTGCAGTCAATGAGGGCAGCTCGCTGGGGTCAACCCCCACACATGCCACAGGTTTGGTGGGACAGGAATGTCAGACTTTTCCTTAATCAGGTCAGGAAGGGCCTCCTTCTACCTCACAGAAGCCTCATGGCCTCCTTAAAGTAAACCATCCCCATTTTATTTCAGAGGGGAAAACTGGGGCCCAAGTGGGGAGAGCCTCACTCCAGCCCCACCCTGCCTGGTGAGTCAGCACTCAGACCTGCTTACCCATCTCAGTCAAGGCAGCCACACCCTGGCTAACAACCTCCTGGCCTTAGGGAAGATAGCTAAAGTCTGGCATTGCCTGCTTCTGTCCTCCCTGAGGCAATGACTCCCTCACCCATCCAGCCAACCTGGTGGCTCTGGTAATTACCACCTGACTCAAGGGAGAGTCACCACTGGGCCCCCCAAGCCGAGAGCTGTCTAAGGACATGAGACTGACTCTGTTCCTCTGTTCCTGATGGCATCTGGCACAGGTATCTGCAGCCTCACCTATGAAATGGGTATGACACCCCCTTGCCTGGAAAACCACGACGGGTACCAGGAAGAGCAGTCATGAGTACCTTGTGGGCTGCAGATGAGAAAAAGCACCCCTAAGCCAAGATCTCCTGTGGATACAGAGTTGCCCCCACCTTCCACCCCAGCCTGAACATGGGGAACGTCCTTCCCAGCAACTTTTCCACCTTCCTTGAGCTTATCCTGGAAGTGGCATCTCCACAGGGAACCAGGAGCAGCAAGAAGGCTCCTCCATGTACCCCTGCACCTAAAGTATACACAGCACCTGTCACACCAGCCTGGGTGACAGCCTTTATCTGCCCCCGCTGTAGCTGGGGAGCTCTGGAAATTCAGAGACCATATCTGATCACCTCTGTTTGTCCGACTCAGAGAAGGGAGAACCAGAGATGGGAAGCTGTCTATGGCTATGTCCTCCCCACAGGAGTACGGGGGTGGGGGGGTCCTAGGGCAAGGACCGAACATAAATCTGCACAGCCCATGTTGCCCCTCCACTGGCCAACCCTGTCTGCAGTCAGCCACACAACCAGAATATTCCCTTACTCCACTCCTTCTTATGCTCTCCAACACGACTACCCCAGGAAAGACCTCTGCCCCCTTCTGCTTGTGAGAATGCACACCCTCTTCATCCATTTCCCTGTTTCCTCACTACTTACTGTATTTAGCATGCATCTAGCAGAGCCTACAGTAGAAGCCCAGGGCTACCCTAAGCATTTTACTTATGATAACTCCCTTACTAGCAGATTGTCCAAATGGGGTTAGAGTTCTTTTCCTTTCATTCACTCATTCATTACTTTTAAATTTCTTGGTAACAAAGTTTACAAACTCTGCAGAGCAAGTCTGGGTCAAGTAAAAATAGGAAAAAGAGAGAAAAAAATTTTTAAATACACCCTACAGTGTAGGATGGGCTTCTATGATGAGACATGATAGTGTATTTTTTGGTTTTCTGAGATAGGGTCTCACTATGTAGAGCCCAGCTGGCCTCAAACTCATAATCCTCCTGCCTTAGGCTCCCTCCCCAGTACTGGGATTACAGCCAAATGCCACCACACCCAGCTTAGAGTTCTTTTAAAGAGGCATTACTCTTGCTTCCCTCCCTTGCTTAAAGCCTTTGACAGCCCAGGAAGCCTACCTGGCCCTATGTGGCTCCTCCACCCATTCCAGATCCTCTCCCTGACAACTACCAAAGGGATCAATTCCACTGATCTGTTACCTGACTACAAGGTCAGATAGAGGCCTCTCTGCTGCATTCCCACCCCAAGCCCACTGCACAGCAACAGTTAAGACTGAAAGCACACCTCACATAGCACATGCTCTGGGCCAGGCACTACTCCAAGCATATCATGTAGTTAACTTGCCCTTCTCACAACAACTCTTAGTTGGGACCATTATCAGCCTTGTTTTAAGACGTAGAAACAGGCCCTGCAAGGTTCAGTCACCTGCCCAAGGTCAGAGAAACAGCTAATTCAAGTGCCAAGGCCAAGATGTGAATCTAGCAGCCTGACCCACGGCCCTTGGTTTTCTATCCCTGCAATATTCCACCACTGCAGGAGATACGACTATGAAATAAGAAAACACCTGCAGATGTTTGCTGAACAAACAAATGAAATTATAGAACGGGAGTTATCAGGGAGGACTTCCTGGGGGTAGCTGGCACATGATTTTATCCTTCAATTATGGCAGGCTACAGACAAGCAAGAGGGCAACAAAAAGGATAAGAGTTCCACTGGGCTATGGATACACCCAGTAACACACACCTGTAAATCCCAGCTATTTGGGAGATTGAAGCGGGAGGATCACAAATTCAAGGCTGGCCTGAGCAACTTTAGCCAACTTTAACAATACCCTATCTCAAATTGAAAATAAAAAGGGCTAGGGATTAGCTCAGTGGTAGAGTGCCTAGTACACACAAGGCCCTGGGCTCAAACTTTACTACTACAGATAATACAGATAATAATAATTCCCCAGTGCTAAATGGATGCCTGCAAGTTGCTGCCTGCCTGCAAGGTAGGTCATGTCACAACCCTGACATATGCCCACTTGTCCAACTCTCCAACTCTATAGCCTGCCCTGGACACTATTTATGCATTCCTAAGGCCAACAGACACCTACCACAGGTCACTTTGCCTTCTGATGGAGGTCTGGTTGGCTCCTGCTGCTGCTGGGGGGCAGGTGGGCTGCCCCTCCGCCGCCTTCTGGCACCACCACTGGGGCGGCCCCGACTCCGCCGCTGCCGCTTAGTCGGAGGGGAGTCTGAGGAGAGACAGATGAGGTAGACTGAGGATGACTAGGACGATAGGCAAAGTACCAAGGTAGGTGTCCAGGAGGAGCTCAAAGCCATTCTCTATGCTGTTGTGAGCCTTTGGGGGAGCCCCTCTGGAATGGCCCTGTCTTGAAGATGAGGTACCACTGACAATCATCATCTGGAGAGGCACACTCCAACATTCAGCCCACTCCTCCAGGTCTAAAGAAGCCTTAGCAGGCCATGGTGGCACACACCTGCAATCCCAGCACTTGGGAGGCTGAGACAGAAGGATTGCCACAAGTTCAAGGCCAGCTTGGGCTACAAAGTGAGTTCAAGGCTGGTCTGAACTACGTGGCAGGACCTTGTCTCAAAAAATAAATAAATAAATAAAAATTTAAAAGCCCTTTCACACTCACATCAGGAGACAGGCAAGACAACTGCCACTGGGGCATCATACATAATCATGAAAACCTGAACACAATACAAAGGTCTGATGAGAAAAAACAATGCTGTAGAACTGCTTCCAGGATAGTGTTACACTACGCATAATAAAAGAGAGGAAGTCAGAACATATGTTTGTTATTTTTACAAGATAAAACACTGGGAGCCTGATGTGGTGACACACACCTGTAATTCCAGCACTCAGGAGGCTAAGACAGGAAGACCACTGTGAGTTCAAAGCCAGTCTGAACTACATAGTTTAGGGCCAGCCTAGAAGTCATACCAAGACCCTGTGTCTCAAAAACACCCCCAAATGAACAACAACAAAAAGATTAAAACTGCAAGGACACATCAAAAATTAATGAAACTACTTACAAGACCTACTTTGGGGGAGGAAAGATACAAATGATTTGTGTTTGTGTGTGTGTGTGTGTGTGTGTGTGTGTGTGTGTGTGCGAGAGAGAGAGAGAGAGAGAGAGAGAGAGAGAGAGAGAGAGAGAGAGAGAGAGAGAGAGAGAGAGAGAGCCATCATACCCTGGACATTTTTAATGTTTTCTTTTCTTTTTTTTTTTTTTGGTACCAGGGATTGAACTCAGGTCCTTGCGCTTGTGAGGCAGGTAGTGGAACCACTGAGCTAAATCCCCAGCCCTTCTAATATCTTATTTCATACTTTAGTTTTGCCTTTTGAGTCATGTACTATTTAACACATTCAAAAACTTTAAAGAAAACTAAAAGAAACAAACCATAGAAACTAAAGAAAAGCTAAAACACATGAGCCTAACTGTATATATAATTGGTAACATAAATACTCTGAGAAAACAATTATTTCAAGTAACATGGAAAAACATTCTGACTGCAAACTATCAGTGGGATATGGCCAAAGAACAAGAACCACAAACAAATCTCATGTTTCAATCAGGAGATACCTTCAAAAACAGTACTGACTATAATTCTGATGCTATTTTATTATTGTTGTAAAATTTATGTAAAAATAAAAAAAAATTCATTTCTCAATGTAATGAACAGCCAAGATTTAGTATAAGAAAATCTTTGTTATGTTAACTTTGAATTAAAATTGTACTAAGAGCTTCTTAAAAAGCAGTCTCCAGCTCTGCTCAGGGACAGAGGATAGAAACAAAATGACTACTCAGTACCCAGATTAAATACTGGCCTTTAAAAGAAACCAGGCTTCTTAAGAACAGCTGATTCTAGGACTGGGAAGGGGAAAGTTCAAGGTGAGCCCAAGGCACCTGCGGTGCCATGAAACAGAAGGTAATCAAAAAACTAGGGAATTTAGCTCAATGGTTCTGCTGCCTGCCTTGCAATCACAAAGTCCCACGTTCGATCCCCAGTACCAAAAAAAAGAAAGTGGAAAACACAGTAAAAAGACACACAGACTTAAGACTCAACTGTGCTCACTTGCACAGCATGTACACTAAAAAGACAACAGAGAATAACCACTTTGAACTCTGGGAAGAATGACTGTGCATAACAAAGTAAATAAATAATGACTCCATAGTGATACTCAGAAAAACATGAGAAAATGTTTCTTGAAAGAACTCTAACAGAGGTAGAAAAATGAAAATAATTGGAAAATCACTGTTTTGCAAACACCAATGTGATAAATGGTTTAAGGTAAAACAGTCAGGGTTCACCAACAGATGCCAAGCCCACTGGATGAATGGCTAGCGGGAAACAGGATGTCCCAAAGTATTATCTTACAGAATGTTTAACCTTGACAGGAAAGAAACGTCCCTTTAGAGCCAGATGTGGTGGTATACACCTGTAAAGGCCAAGTCAGGAGGATTTTAAGTTCAAGGCCAACAGGGCCACCTAATAAATCCAAGGACAACATGGACAATCTAGTTGAGAACCCTGCCTCTAAAAACAACGAAACTACCTGGAAAGTACAAGCTTCTGAGTTCGATCCCTGGAACCAAAAACAAAAACAAAAACAAAACCACACCCTTATATAATGGACAGATATGGCAGATATCACCTTAACAAAGTGATTAGCTGGGTAGGGTGGCACATGCTTATAATCCCAGCACTCCCGGAGGCTAAAGCAGGAGGACTGCCGTGAGTTTGAAGCCAATCTGGGCTACACAGTGAATTCAAGGGCAGCCTCGACTACATAGCAAGTCCCTGTCTGAAAAAAGAAAGAAAAAAATATGGGGGACAGAGGGATAAGTTAAATGTCATAATCAAAAATAATCAAACATATCCAGGAGGAATTAAAACATACTACAAAACAATCAGCCTAGTCAGGTCCAAGAGTCAACAAGGAAAAAGGGGAGCTGTAGGTGTGGGTGGCTCAGTGGTAGAGCACATGCTTATTGGCACACATAAGGGTCTCCCCATCACCACCTCTACAAAAGATCTGAGAAGTTGGGGAGAAGTTTCTGTTCTGTAGTTTGAGGCTGAGGAAGGAGGGGAAGAAAAACATAAAAAGAATTAAGATGTGTTATGTGCACGCACTAACTCCCCAAGATGAATGTAATCATGTACTATAAACATGTAGTAACAAAAAGGTTTTTTAAAAAGTAAATAAACCTTAAAATATAGAGAGAGAAATTAAAGAGATATAACTGCATGCATAACAACTCAACCATGAGTATATTCTTTAAGTTGAGACCATTTTAAGAGAATGAAAATGGACCATCAGGGTATCAGAGAATATTTATTTTTTAAGGTACAATAATGGTCTTGAAGTGGTATAGGAGAATATCGTCAGTCTTAAATGATGCCTTATGATGAGGAGTTAATCTGACGTCTGTAATTTACTTTCAGAGAATTCAACAAAGATGTTTACCTTCTATGCATGTTTGAAATTTTATGATAATAATAAACTGGAGGAGGGAGAAGAGGCAGAATAAATTAACTGGGACATGGCAATTAAACCAATTAGAGGCATTGAACAAAATCTCAGCAACAGGTCTAGCAAAGACAACAAGCTACAGACTGATACCTACAATATGATGTCATTTAAATAAAATAGAAAACAACATGAAACAATTCTATGGGTTGCTTCGGGACACATGCTTCCTCTTGCAGCATTGATACAATAATAAACACAGACACACTGTGAAAATGAGGTCCAAAGACCCCTCAGGCCACTTCTCTGATGGGCCAGGATGAGGAGGTTTATCAAAGTTCAGAAAAACAAGAGGGACACTGCCATCATGCCCACTCAGGGCACTCACCTGTATCCCACTGGCCCTCCTGAGAGTCTGAAGAAGTGCTTGACTGCCGACGGCGGCGGCAGCTTCCCTCTGTCCTTTTTGAAGAACAAGAGGTGCCATAGTTGTAGCGCTCAGGAGACACTGGGAGAAGACAACAGAAAGAAACGTTACAATTCGCAGTCCAGTCTTCAACTCCTACCCCTAGAATGCCTGGACCACAAGGTGCCTAAGTCCACACTCAAACACCTACCCAGAGTGCTCAGACGGTGCCCTAGACAGAGAATTCCTCCCACTCTAGGGCCACCTGGCCCATGTCAATAGCAGCTCAAAAGTTACCTGGTATGCAGTCATGAGCAGGACCTCTGCAATGCCCCCTGCCCCTCAACAACTGCTCCTAGTTCACCTTGAGGCCCCCAGGAGAAAGCAGGCCTCTGTAGACTCCCCAGTCTTTTCTTTTAGAACTTGATTCTCAGGCATATTTTTCTCAAATGCCATTAGCTCTCCAGAGATGTCTGGTTATCCAAATCTCACAGGATACAAAAACCTACAATTCCCCCCTCTCCAACCTAATCAATCCACCTCTAGTAACCCAGCTAAGAACCCCAAAACCTATTCATGCACAGGTCTTCGGGCAGACTGAAACCCTCCCAGCTCCCCACCCTTCTCACTGCTGTCCTTCCCTCCCAAGTCAAGGGCCTCAACTCTGGAGACAGGCCAGCTAGATTTGAATCCTGGCTCTCACACATTCTAGCTATGTTACCTGTAAGCCCCTCCATGATGTTATCTTTTGCCTATCTGTCCACCCTTGCTTGGGCACCCCTTTGTTCCTGCCACACTGGCTTCTCATGATACCAAGTTCATTCTCACCTCACGGCTTGGATGCCTTTCCCTCTACCTGGGAACTTCTCCCCTGAGATGTGTGCATGGCTAGAAGTAGTACAGCCTCAGTTCAAATGTCATCTCAGAAAGGTCTTCACTGGTTACCCAATCTAAGGCGGTCTCCTTTCACTTTGAGGCACTTCCTACTCCCTCTATTCTATTACCTTGTTTTAGTCTGTCACCCCAACTTAAAGGAAATTACTTATTTACTCATCTTTATTTTCTGATGCACCAGCTACACGTAAATAAACCCCATTATCATATATCCTCTATGCTTAATATGCAGGAGTCAAGTCTTATATGTGGCAAGCTGCCTAACTTTTCTGAACCTGTTGTTTTCCTTGTACAGTGGGGACAGCAACAGAACTTCCTCGTGGGACTATTAGAAGGATATAAGGTGATAGTTCATTTGATGACTTACAACAGTACCTGGGACGAACAAGCCTTCGGTAAAAGTGGTCGACAGTATTATTGATGTGACCAAGCTCACTCCTCCTTAGACCATGTCTCCTCCCTCTTTTGTTTTTCATTAATATTGTGTGAAGGGGGAGTGGAATGGGACATTACCAGGGCACCACGGGGGCCCATGGGACTCGCCACAGTTAGTCTGGCACACTCCTATTTAACCTTACCAGGCCGGCGCCGTTTGCGTGCCAGGTGCGGCAGCAGGTCGTGGCGGGCCAGCACCCGTAGGAGTTGGCCCAGCAGCCGAAGGTTGCTCTCGTCGCACTGCCCGCGGCGCTCCAGCTCCAGTAACAGCTCCAGGCCGCTGCGGGTGCGGGCCAGGCCGCCAGCTGCGCCGGGGGCCTCATCCAGCAGGAAGGCCAGAAGCTCCAGCTCGCAATCGGTCAGCTGCCCGCCCACTACCTCGAACATACGGTGAAGCGACAGCATGCCATAGTAGTCCAAGCACTCATCCTCCTCCCAGCTTGGGGCCGGGGTCGACCCAGACAGCGCCATTCCCGGGGGAGGGACGCGGAACAAGCTCAGAACCAGGCCCTAGAACCCACACGGCGGGGAGGAGGTAGCGGTCAGCGACGCAGCGGCCGGGACTGCACACTGGCCAGTGCGTGTTCTCCCGCCTAGGCCAGGCAGGGCCGACTCCCACAACCCACAACAGCCTCGGTCTCCCTCTCTCCCGGAAGGGAATGGTATAGTCCAAGGTCCCCTAGTAACAGGTAGGGACGCCAGACCCTACGGGTTCTCCGACTACTCCACTCCAGACAGCCAAGCCCAAAGGCCCCTCCCCAGGTGGTACGTTCCAAACGAGCCCCCCACCCCCACCCCGATGACCCCCCCAGTGATTCGGCCCAAACAAGGATCGATGCCCAATCCAGTGCACTTTGGTCTACTACACCGTGCCTTTGGGTAGTAAATGTCGGGACGTGGCCCTTGCCTCTGTCCATCAGTATTTTCCACTCAGGCTTTCCGCTCCACCCAAACAAACAGTACTGTCCGAAAGTGACCCTCTGCCCCGCGGGACCGACCAAGGCAGCCCTTTGCTCCACACAGGTGGTACTGTCCGAACCAGACCCTTGCCCTTATAAGAGCAGTCCCACCCTGTCCCCAACGCCCGAGTAGTTTTGTCTTCCTGCCACCAGTCGCCCTTAGGCCTCTCGGGATCCTCACCGGATTCCGGCGTCCGATGACACCTAGACGACGGTTGCAGCCACTTGTTTTGGATCTTTCTGGCACCTTCTCTATTATTACGCCTGCGTCACCTCGCTCCTCCTTCTTCTCCCAACTTGCGCAGGTGCGACCGCCACGCCCCTTGAGCGCAAGCGCAGAATGAGACCTACAAGCCCCACCCACCGGGCCTCCGGACCCGCCCCGAAACGAATCTTCCTGGCTTGCTGGTACTGCGCTTGCGCAATGAGAGAATTTCGCCTGGCCTGGCACTTGCGTATATCTGCTGCTTCCGCAAGTGACTCAAGGTACCAAGTCCCGGATTGCCCACATCACGATCTGTGGAAATGCTCAGCTAATAAACTACAGCCCTCTCCTTGTAATGTTACGGAAGGAATTGGTAAGTGACACAGAGAGGCGGCAGAATAGAAATAAAATAACAAGTTTACTCTGTCGACGGGAGTCAATCACACCTAATGGCAGCTCCCTGACAGACCCAAGTACTGGGCTGCAATTCCTTTTATAGGGCTTTACAGCCTTGATCTCATTCAGGTGGTAATATTTCATTTTCACAGTTCACAACGCTGATATTCAAAATGTGGTGGTGAGGCAGTTGAATTTCAACCCGGACGTAACACTTTTTGATAGGGGAGGTTACCTTTTAAATTCATTTAGTTATTCTAGCCCAGAGGAAGGGGGCGTGTCTGGTCAGCCAAGTTAACAATGGTTCTTTTCATGTACAAAACTTTTGAGCAAGACTAGATGCCTGGTGCCTGTTGATTCTGAACGAAACCAAGCAAACGGCAGAGGTCACAAGTTACTTTACGTTGACATTTCGTTGACATTTTGTAGGTTTTATTCTGTTAAAGTGTTCCCTATCAGTCACAACCAAGACTCCCCACAGTATCACTGCCCCAGCTTCCCGAGGCAAAGGTCGGTAATTAAGACTATCCCGGCTCCCAGGGGAGTCCCGGCCTCTTAGAATCAGACCTGGATCCTCCATTATACTGTTCCCCCACACCTAATGGCAACCAGGAATCTACATCTCAACTGTCTTTTTTCATGATCCAGTCTGGAAGCACACCTTTATCACAAAGAGCACACGCCCCACCCCATCCCATCTATAAATTTCTTCTCCTGATAAAAAACAAGATCCCCCAACTTCATGTTCGAGCTCTTTACAATAGGCCTCGCCATCCCAATAGGCACGTCTCTGCCCTCCAGGATCAGGGAGCCACTCAAATGCCCTCTGCCTAACCTGCACCATCAAAAGCAGGTCTGTAGAGGCTGTGGTGTTTGCGTGTCCCTGGCCCAGGGCTTTGCTTTGGGTGTGACAGTCGCTGGGACACCCATTTAGGTGACTCAAGTTCAGGGCTAGCACGTGCCTGACACAAGTCTCTTTCCAGTCGGTTCCCACCCCGGAATTATTTCCCCTTGGGAGGCGGGAGTCCTGAGTCCTGCCTGGCAGTGGTTCAATACGGGCTCTGCCCCAGCTGCTGTGGTGGCTCCAAAGAATCTCTTCCTTTCTCTGGCCCTCGGTTTCCCCACCTACGAAACAAATGGATGGCACCGACTCCCTATGGAAGTATAATCCTGAACTGAACAATGGGCGCCTTATAATATGACTTTTAAGTGATTATCATTAAATGAAGAAAGGACTATGTCCATGTTAGATTAGGTACCTGCGGTGCAGGTACGAGGCCCCTCTGCTAAGCGCTTCTCCATGTGTGGCAGGCATCATCCAGTCCTTTCAGCAGCCTTTGAGGTGTTTTATGAGTCAAAGCTCACAGAGAGGAAATACTTCAAGTTTGGCTAGCTCCAGAGCTGTGTTCTCAGAGACTCTGTTTTTTCAACTATGAAATGACACCTATCAAGGCCTCCTGCCGGCCAGTTCCCTGGTGGGCCCTTGCTCTGTATCCACTTCACTCTGTTGAACTTTCAAACTCAGCAGGAAAGCAGCGGCCACAGAGAACTGCGCAGTCGCTTCTGAGCGCCGGGACCCCACCCACAGGGCACAGATGCGTGCTTGGAGAAACTCCCGGAGCCCCGCCTGAGAGTCAACACGCAGGCGCAAGGGCGCGTGCCCTGCGCTGCCGGCTCTGATTGGCTACCAAGGGTAAGGGCGCCGCCCAATGGGAGGTGTGGATAGTGAGGGGTCCGGCACGCCTGGAGTCGAGGGTCTGTGTCAAGCGCGGCAGGACCAGTTAAGGCCAGAGAAATAGGTGAGGGCGCCGCGGGGCGGGCGGGAAACAGAGCGCTGGGTGTACGAAGAGGGAGGAGGGAGAATGAAGAGGACCCTAGGGACTGAAAAACCTTAGGGCCTGTGCTAGGGCTGGAGCTGAGCGGTGTGGAAGGAGAGTGCTCCTTCCTGTGTGCCCTAGAGGCGTTGGTTGCCCTCCCGCGGTGTGCAGTACCTGAAACTTGTCTCCCTCCCTCCCACCCCCTGCAGATACTTCTCTGGCTGCCCAGGAGATGAGTTTGGCAGAAAAGGGTTTGTAACAGGAAAGCTTAACTTTCAGGCCCTGGTGGATTCTTTCCTGGTAGGACTTAAGCACTGACTATATGAAAAGCCCCCTTTCCTCCCCGTAGTAGTTCACAATCTAAGATTGGGTAAGAGGAATATAGACAAGGAAAGCGCAAACTTCAGGACCATCTTCTAGAAACATTTATTGTACAAGTCTTGTGGCATACTCTGGGCCCGATCCTAGGAGAGTTCTCTGTTCCCAGTGGACCTGCAAAACAAGGAAAAATGGAGCTCTTTGCTCCCTGTTGGCTGTTTACGGGAAGATCCTTTATGGAATGGCTCTTGTGTACAGAATCCTAGAACTCAAAAATTAGTGAAGGATTTGGAATAGGTTGATAAAGAACGTTTAGCTCCTGGGCATTGAGTGAATGGTTTATTCAAGGAGTACTTATTGGGCACCACCTGAAAACAGGGCCCTGTGTACAGTGGGAATTCAGGGAGAAATGGGAGAGTAGACCTGTTTGAAGTGAAATGTGCAAAGAGATGGCTAAACTCCCAAGGCTTCACTCCACTAGAGACTCTTATTCATTTACTAAATACCTACTTGGTGCCTACTGTGTGTTGGACATTGTTCTTGGCACTGGAAATACTTCAGTGATGATAGGCTAAAACCCCTGCCTTCAGGGAGCTTAATATGAAAAATTTCTATATGCAGGGCTTTAAACTAAACTCCCACCTGCCCTCTGGCACTAACAGATGATGTGAAGAAACAAAAATGTGGGGATTTCAAAAGGCCCTAGGTTAGGGCAACCCACTTTCAGGCTACCTCTCAATAAATTTTCCTACTCTTAACCTAAAAAAAAAGGTCCTGGGGTAAACCCCCCCCAAAAAAAGAAAAATTTCAGGGGTGGGTGTCATTTGCTGAATAGACTGTGAACCTTTATTGTATTGAGCCCGCAGAAGAAAAGGACATAGACCACGTGAGGGCAGATTTGTAACTTAAAATACCTGTCCCTCACATGTGGTTTTGTTGGTGACTGGGGCCCCCACAGTTAATCAGACCCACCCTGCCTGTAAGCTCTCAGTCCTGTAAAGAGCCCAAAGAAACACTCCAAGCTCATAGAGGAAGCATAGGATATCATAGGAACCCTAAGGAGGCAGGAGTGCCCATTGCTCTGAGGATATGAAGATGTTGCCACAGGTTTCACAAAGAAGATATGGGGTAGGAGTTTGCCAAATAAGATTTCTCTGGTGTGAGAGGTTCAAAATGTATAATAGATAATGTGAAATAGGAAGAAAAGGTCCAAAGGGGAAGTGGGAGGGGTAGGGGAAAGGAAAGAAGGAAAAAGATAAAATATGAGAAAAGAAGGAAAAACCAGCAACAAAGTCTTTGTAAATAAGGAAATGTGGAGGGGTTGAAGGGAGGGTAGAGGAATGGGGGAAAATATAAGAACCAAGATATATTATGTAAAGATACAAATCCCCAATGATGAATGTCATCATACTGTATACCTAAAATGCACCAATAAACTTAATGAATAAAAAAAGAAGAGAGTTTTCTTAGCAGAGAAAATAGCAGCGTCAGAGACTTAAGTTCAACTTTTTAGCAAACTTTAGCTTTTATCAAGTATCAGTGACTTTGTGGTCAGTACTAGTTTTAGCTCCATTGTACAGGTGAGAAAACACTCTCAGAGAGTGGACATAAGCAGTGGAGCTCAGAATCAAGCTGAGGTAAGTCTGGGTCCAGGTCCTGTGCTCTTAATGTGTTGCCATATCTCTGTGTGCATTTGTAGAGGAAGGAGGACAGATGTTGCAAAAAAAGGAAACTGCACAGACAAAGGCTAGGAGGCTGGAAAAGACATGGTGTATTCTCAGAAAGAGTATGACTGAGCCTCTGGGACAGGGCAGCATCCCAGGCCAGACTGAGGAGTGTTCTCTCTTCTGCAGATGCCTGACTGTTGTGGGCGGCAATAGGCTTCAGAGGCACAAGATCATTGAAGACTGAGACATAAACTTTGGATTAAGATTTGTTGATTGATAGAGGCTGGTGAGTAGTGGGATGAGCAAGGGCATCTCCTCTCTCCTGGGTTCCTTCTATGTCACTGGCTCCTGCCCCTCCTTCCCCAGGCACTGCCTTCCCCACAATGGCAGAGGTTGTGGCTGAGGTGGCTGAGATGCCAACACAGTCACCAGAGGCAGTGGAGATGCCAACATCTGTGTCATCCATGTCGGGGGAGATGGCAGAGATAGCAACAGAAGTGACAGAAATGACACCTGGAGAGGCCCTTGCCTCATCCCTCTTCTTTCAGCACCACCAGTTCATGTGTTCTGAGTGCGGCAGCCTCTATAACACACTAGAAGAAGTCCTCTCACACCAAGAGCAGCACATGCCCACTGTGTTGGAGGAGGAGGCACTGACCACACAGGATGCTGGCCTGGAACCAGAGCTAGTGCCAGACACCGAGGAGGGGCCTTTCCAGTGTGGTGAATGCAGCCAGCTCATCCTCTCTCCCACTGAGCTCCTGGCCCACCAGGATGCTCACCTCCGAGAGTCTGCAAGCCAGATCCAGTACCAGTGTGGGGATTGTGAGGAGCTCTTCCCCTCACCTGAGCTGTGGGTGGCCCATCGCAAGGCTCAGCACCTTTCTACTACAGTGGCCGAGTCATCAGCACCACCTCCTTTGCCTCCTCCATCACCACCTCCTCCACCACCTGAAGTCAAGATGGAGCCCTATGAATGTCCTGAGTGTTCCACCCTCTGTGCCACCCCAGAGGAATTCTTGGAACATCAGGGCACTCACTTTGACTCCTTGGAGAAAGAAGAGCGTAATGGGTTAGAGGAGAAGGAGGAGGAAGATGAGGAAGATGAAGAGGAGGAGGATGAATCAGAGGAGGACGAAGATGTAGACTTTGCTGATCCTATGGAAGGTGACAAGTCCAGAGCTGGTAGAGTGCAGGGCCATGGGGATTGTCCCCAACACTGTACCTCTGTAGGGGCACGCCAGAGACACCGAAGAGCATCTCAAGGATCAACATCAGGTGCCCACCCCTTCCACTGCACCCAATGTCAGCGCAGCTTTAGCTCAGCAAATCGGCTGCTGGCTCATGGGCGGGCCCACGTGGGTGGCACGTACGAGTGTACAGCCTGCTCCAAGGTCTTCAAGAAGGCAGCCTCTCTTGAGCAGCACTTGAGGCTGCACCGCGGAGAAGCCCGCTACCTCTGTGTAGACTGTGGACGGGGCTTTGGCACAGAACTCACATTAGTAGCCCACCGCCGGGCTCACACTGCCAACCCACTGCATCGCTGTCGCTGTGGCAAGACGTTCAGCAATATGACCAAGTTCCTCTACCATCGGCGTACTCATGCTGGGAAAAGCGGGGCCCCAGCAGCAACAGCCTCTCCAGCTCCAACAGAGCCCACGCCCCCAACCCCTCCCCCTGCCCCGCCTGCCCAGCTGCCCTGCCCACAGTGCCCCAAATCTTTTGCCTCAGCCTCTCGGCTTTCCCGACACCGGCGTGCGGTACATGGACCCCCTGAACGGCGGCACCGCTGTGGGGTTTGTGGCAAGGGCTTCAAGAAGCTGGTCCATGTGCGCAACCACTTGCGGACACACACAGGTGAGAGACCCTTCCAGTGCCATTCTTGTGGCAAGACATTTGCTTCTTTGGCCAACCTCAGCCGCCACCAGCTGACCCACACAGGTGTGCGTCCCTATCAGTGTCTGGACTGTGGCAAGCGCTTTACACAGAGCTCCAACCTGCAGCAGCACCGGCGGCTGCACCTGCGGCCTGTCGCCTTTGCCCGTGCACCCAGGCTTCCTATCACCGGTCTCTACAACAAGAGTCCCTACTACTGTGGGACCTGTGGCCGCTGGTTCCGTGCCATGGCAGGCCTACGGCTGCATCAGCGGGTCCATGCCCGAGCCCGGTCTCTGACACTGCAGCCTCCCAGATCACCATCTCCTACACCGCCCCCAGCACCTGAACCTCAGCAGACTATCATGTGCACGGAGCTCGGGGAGACCATTGCCATCATTGAGACATCCCAGCCACTGGCACTTGAGGACACACTGCAGCTGTGCCAGGCTGCACTGGGGGCCAGTGAAGCAAGTGGGCTGTTACAGTTAGACACAGCCTTCTTGTGACATGGCTGAAGAGCAACAATAAAAGGGTTTGGTTGCAACAATAAGTGTGGGCACCTCTGGGGAAAAGAGGACCACCCTTTGACAGACCAATCTGGCATTCATCATGAGACTCACTCTTGTACCCAGTGACTCCTCAGAGCAGCCCTGCCAGGTTTCCCATGTCACCTTTCTCTTCCTGAGGGGAAACTGAAGCTAAGATGCCATGTAATCTGTCCCGGGTCACCCTGCTCTGTTGCAAAGTGGGGTTTACCAAGGCTCTTTGCATCACCCTTGTGCCCAGCAATATCAGGTAAACTTTACTGAGCATTGACCATGCCCAGGTCTGTGCTGGGGATTCTCATATACCTCTCAAGAGTTTCTACTTGTCTCCCAGCCCTAACCTAGATTTGGGGCACCCAGGGGAGAGAAAAGCACTTATCTGGGCTTCCTTCATCTCAGATTTGACAATGTAAAAGGAAATCTGTAGGTGTCCTGGTACTAAGCTTAGAGTAGGTGATGCTGAAGACCCAGTTAGTTATGAGTCAGACACAGGCTCTGCCCTCAGAAAGTATCTAGTAGGACCACACACAAGTACAGATGGTTTGTTCTCCAAATGTGGCTTACTGGTTCATTTAACCTGTGTCCGAAGGCCTCCTCTTATGTGCTATGCAGTGCTGGAGGCTAGAGATAAGATTGAGTCCAGCTTAAGGATTTCTTGGGTTATGATGAGGATGTACAGCAACACTGGGATCCCAGAGTAGGGAACAAACCTTCATGGGGGGAGATCAGGTGTGAAAAAGTCTTCCTAGAGAAGGAAGTCCCTGAAGAAAAAGTAGAAATCTGCCAGTGCAAGAGGAAAAGAACATTTCAAGCAGACAGCCACTATAGGAAGTTAGTATATATTTGGAGACCATCTTGTAATTACAATTAACTGAGCATTTGACTGCATGGCCACAGCAGGCACTGCACTTAGCACTGTATGTGTACTATGATCCCAGCAGGTGTAAGATCTCAATCTCACCCCTCTTGTACAGGTTAAAAAAGTTAAGGACAGCAACTTGCAAGGCATTGTGAGCTTTGAACCCAGAATGTCCCCTAAGCCCACATTTATAACCACTAGGATTCTAAGCGATTTGAGACCGGAAACCCACGCAGAGAGTTGGGAGTCAGAGGATTCATTCTAATTGGAAGAAAAGTAAACCAGGGTCACAGAGCAGTTGGAATATAAGGGAGCCTGAAAAGACCCTGGAAGCAGGAAGGGTCACCAAATTTTTTCAAAGCGTGCCTAGGATTATAAGCAGATGTGGGTCAGACCTCTGACCCTGGGTGCTCCGGCAGATGAAACAGAATGCTGCTGGAGCTGGCACTTGTCCAGGAGGGAAGCCTAGGCCTTGGGAGTTGGGCTGAGCAGTTCAAGACAGTGTTGCAGAGGTGGGGAGGTGTCATGACAGGGTTGTCAGCTCTCCCAGAGATAGTGAGTGGGAGGCTGGCAGTGGTCTAGGAGGGAGAGAACAGGGACAGTGCTGGGCAGGGGTGATGGGGACAGGAGTAAGGTGAAGGACACCCTGTGAATACATGATCAACCACTGGGGAGGAAGAGGTCCCCAAGCACTCAAGGCTCGCCCCTTGCCCAGACCAGCCATCTTCCCCTTGTCTAATCTATGTGTTCTATATATCCACTTTGCAATCGAGGTGAAATGCAGGCCAGTATTATGCAAGAAAGGGACAGTCTGTGTTGGGCAGTTTATAGATGTCCTTAGGCAATTTGGAAAGCCCAGATCCCACGGGAAGTCTCAGCTCTCCTGGGACATGTCCTAAGTGGAATCTAGCAGAGGACATGCAGTTGGCTCCTCCCCAGGCTCCCTTTCCCTCCCCTTCAGCCTATGCTTGTTGCTTGACACCATGTGGAGAAGGTGCCATTTCCTTCTGCCTATAGCCCCTACCATCTAGTCCTAGTATATTTTTAAAGTGAGGGAAAAAGCCAAATTTTGCCCGAGCCTTCCCAGAGTTGTCAATTCCCAACATTCCTGAGAGGCAGAGCAAATGGGTGCCTTGCTTAACACTGAAATGAAGCCTTGCAGCCGGGCATGGTGGCGCACGCCTGTAATCCCAGCACTCAGGAGGCTGAGACAGGAGAACTGCCGAGTTCAAGACCAGCCTGAGCTACATAGTGAGTTGCAGGTCAGTCTCGACTACATAGTGAGACCCTGTCTCAAAAAAAAAAAAAAAAAAAAAAAAAAAAAAAAAAAGGAAGCCTTGAGGATCTGCTAGAGTTCTGGCCTTGTCCCATGTCCCAGTACCTCACTCCAGTCTATAAACAGTTAAGTTTTAAGTTTTTGCCTGAGTGACTCCTATCACCTAGTGTCTCCCTGGTCCTAGAAGCAGCCAGCAGTTTCGAGTAAGACACATAGCCCTTTGTTTAAGTCTTGACTCTGCAGCTTAAATTCTGCATCCTTGACCCCTTCAAGGGATCTCTGGTTCTCCCACTGGTCACTGGGATGCTAATCTCTCCCTCCCTAAGCAGGAGCAGATGATTTATGCTGGGTTACAGGACAGGCCTTTAACAGTGGAAAAGCTCATCACTGCACATGCAGACAGGAGTTTTAAAGTGCAAAAGGGTTAGCCACCTGAATCCCTGCCTGAGATACAGCCCATTTCTGACCCGGAATTGCCCTCCAGGCACCCCCTCACATTGGTGGAAACAGGCAGCCAGACAGGAAGCAGGTTTTCATGCCAATAATTTATTGAATGGAGGTCTGTACACAGGCAAACCTTACTGTGGAAACTTAAGACATCAGGAGTTCTCCCCACTCCCCCAGCCCCTCTAGGTTCAGGAGAGGAGCGAGGGGGCCTTGGGAGCAGAGGAAAGGAGTGGAGATACAGCTGTAGGAGTGGGCAGGGCCAGGTTGGATGGTGCGAATCAACGTTTTCTTTAAGAAAAAAATTATAACAATCTATTTACACCTGGGGACCAGGACAGGAAAAGATGGAGTGGGCTGATTCTATTTACAAGGGTCATAGGAGTGGGGGGAGGTTGGAGGAAGTAGAGGCTGGGGGATAGGAGGGGGCAAAAGGGGTAGGAGTTCCTCATGCCCCCAACCCCATCCTTCCTTCCATGTCTTCCCTCCCCATAACCAGTTAAAATCCTCTTTAAAAACCCATCAAAGGAGTGAGGCTGGTAATGGAGGGACTAGAGGTGGGGGTAGGGACTCATTTACCTCTGCCCTCTAGTCTAGGGGCCCAGCCAGGATAGAAGTGTGATGGGCTATGCCTCCCTCTTCCCAACCCCATTTAGGGCTCCCAGATAGACATGGAAGGGTAGTTGGTGGGGCCCTCAGGAAGAGTTAGTAAGGGTAGGTGTGGCATCAGGAGCCTGCCAGTCTGAGCCGGTCTGATTCTCAGTTAAAGCTGAAGGGAAGGAAAGCAATAAACAATTAGCCTTTGCGTTTCAGATCCCCCTGCACCCTTTCCAGAATAGAGTGGTTAGATGCTACGTTAAGCTAAAAGCTATCACTTTTGGTTCAGGGTTACAAACTCAAATGCCCAAAAGGCAGTTTGACCACACCAGGGAACCAGGCTCCACGTAAGAGGCAGCTACAGCCAGCCCACTTCCAACTGCAGTCAGGAAGGCAGGCTGGCCCACTGCTGCCCAAATCTGATTTTCTTCACCAAGAGAAAAGGAAACCTGGGTTTTTACCTAAAGTGGCCCAATTCTTAAATATGGTCAGCAAGTTCAACTTTTTGTTTGTTCACACCAAACATTTCTTTGGTTTCCAATTAGCATTTAAACACAAATGTAGACAACAACGCCCTACAAAGGTGGTCACTGACATGCTGTGAAATATATTTTGGTTCAGAAATGCTGCTTTAACCCTCAGCAGAAGGCCCTCCAAATTACCTTGTGAGGACGGAGTGAGTGGAGTAGTGCCCGCTGGGGACCTCAAGTGAGGAGGGATGAGAATGGCGTTCAGAGACGGTTGGATGGAGAGTTCTAGAGAGGGGAATCGACATGCCCAGTCAGGGAGGAGTCGGAGCACCTGGAAACTCAGTGAGGATTATGATGGGGTAACAATCAAGGACCCAGCAATTGGCCAGACCATTTTATAGACACTTTTAGCCACAGAATTCTTTAAGCATAAAACTGGAAAGAACCTAGCATAAGACAGATTGTAAAGCACTGCCAAGGGTAGCTATGGTTCTCCGGAATCTGGGGAACAACTTCCTGGGCCCTAGACCTGCTTTGTACCCTGCTTGGTTCCCCACTTCTATCACTCTCACCACCAGGACTGAAGTTGAAGAGGGGGGGAAGTGGGCGGTTGTTGGGGAGCTGGGTTCCAAGACATCGAAGTTCATCAAAGAAGCTGTGGGCACAGGCCTCTAGTGGAGAGAGTCTGGAGGATGGAGTGTACTCTAGCAGGCTTGAACAGAGAGCGATGGCCTCAGGCGGCGTCCGAGATTTGAACACCTGGGGGTGGGGGTGCAGGATCATGAGGGTGAGAGATGCCCTCAGCACCAGTGTCCTGATGCTGCCTGTGGCAGATACAACTGCCTGCCTCTCACAAACCCACCTTCCAAATAAGGAAACAGGCACAACCACTGAGAGGAAGTTAGTTTGTATCTGGCAGACAGCCAGCCCAGGTCCTATGATTGTATGAGCCTTGCTATGAGCTTGTTTCCCTGCCATAGAAAATGGAATTTTGATTACCTGTGGGTCCTCAATTTTTTAAGATTCCATAAACTTTTAAACATGATGAGTTACTGACTTGCTCCCTGGTTAACTTTAAATCCTCCAAGCCATGATTCTGCAGCCAATTACCAGCCCAGCTGGCCTTCAGGAGACCCCCCCCCGTTTATCCCTACCCTACCTTTGTCCAAGGATGAGCTTTAATCTGGGGGAACTTGAACTCCGTATAGTTGGGGTTCATCTCTCGGATTTGTTCCCGGGTTGGTGTTCCCAGTACCTGTGTAGTGAGGGAGGGGTCTGAGACAGGGCCCCCATCCCTTAACCCTGCCTCAAGCCCTCCCTGACCCCATTCTCACCTTGATGATCTCCACCAGCTGGTCCACCCCACTGTCCCCAGGGAAGATAGGCTGGCCAAGGAGGAGCTCGGCCAGGACACAGCCAGCTGACCACACATCTGAAGGGCAATGAGGGAGGTTCAGGACTAGGCAGAGAGGTCACCAAGCCCATCCCTTTGCAAACACTTCTATTATTTCTCATGGCCATCCTCAGGTGTCAAGAGCCCCGTTTTCTTAAGCCAGGAAGCATTTGGCCAAAGGTCATAACAGCACTGGAGCCGGACCTTGAACCTCCAGGTCTGTTAGCTGCGCTCCCCAGACTACATGTCCTTCCAGCCCTCATTGCCTGTGCTCAGTTACCCCAATGAGCCCTTTGTCTGCCTCTATCCTCAGAGGACAAACTAGACCCAAACTTGCCAGTAGGCACCTATGTCCTTTGGGTCTCGGGAAGGTAAAACCTTAAATCCTAGAATACATTTCTTACATGCCAGCCTCACTCTTGCCCATGGGAAGAGCCTTAGCCTGGCTGTTTATCCCTCACAAGTCTGTACCATGACCCTCACTGCGTGTAAGTTTATACCTAGGGACCACCCAGTCCCTTCCCACACCCTTTCACACTCATTCCCTTATTTCAGCCTTGCCCCTCATCACTGGAAGGTAGCACTGTCATCCTCAATGGAAAGACACAGAGGCCCTAAGAATAGGTGGTACCTTTGGGGTAATAAAGCTGTGCCTGCGGGCTCCCCCAAGGTCATTGCCAGCCCCTCCTTCCCCTCTAGCTGAGAACAGAGCTGACTGGGAGGTTCCAGAGCTAGGGTGGACTCTGGAGTCAGGTAAGCTTTCAAATCTCAGCCCTGCCCCATCTCAGCAGAACTATGGGCAGGAGGCTTCTAGCTTTCAGCTATAGGTCACTTATCTAAAACAGCCATGCAGTAACATCAGCCTAAGCTTTTATCACCAAGCCTGACATACAGCGCACAGAAAGAACTCAAAACCTGCCAGGACTTTCATTCCCAGCACCACCCTCCCACGACTCTGACCGATGGACGAGGTATAATCAGTGGCTCCGAAGATGAGCTCAGGGGCTCGGTAGTAGCGAGAACAGATGTAGGAAACATTGGGCTCCCCCCGGACCAACTGCTTTGCACTGTGGGAAGAAAAGGGAAAGGTAAACAGCCAAAGGTTAGGTCCCCTTACCCTTTTAACCACCCAGCAAACCCAGGTCAGTCCCACCTGCCAAAATCGCAGAGCTTCAGGACAGCAGTATCAGGGTCCACCAGCAGGTTCTGGGGTTTGATGTCACGATGACACACACCCTGGGAGTGGATGTAGGCCAAGCTCCGGAAGAGTTGGTACATGTACACCTGGGGCAGGCAGGGGACAGCTGAACTCCAGTTCAGCTCTCCCCACACAGCACACTGTCACTCGCCCACTGTCTTGGCCTGAAGAACCCTTCCAGGCCACAATCTTGGATTCTCTAATTTGAGTGCATACTACAAGCACTTGGGAGACTTGTTAAAACAGACTGATGGGCCCCCAATCTCACAGGGTTTTCTTGGGTTTTGTTTTGTTTTTCTATAGTACCTGAGAGTAAACTCAGAGCTTTCACAACTAGTATAGCCCCAGCCCTTTGTTTATTTTTTATTTTGAGACAGGGTCTTGCTAAGTCACTAAGTGGCCCAGGCTAGACCCTTTTGCCTCAGACAACCACACCCACCTAACAGTTTCTAATTCTTTGACTTCAGAATGGGGCATCTGAAATAAGCCCACCAGCACAGATGCTAGTCCCCAGACCAAATTTTGACAACTACTGCTGCAACCACACCCCTTGGCAGAAGCCTGATGATTAAGACAGACACAGTGGAAAACCTTGTCATAAAGTAGGCTGGAAAGTCAGGTACTCAGCTTCCCCCTCACCAAAACCATTGGTTCTTGAAGAGCTCAGCATCCTTCACTCCACAGTCAAAACCACCCACAAGCCAGCCCTGCCTCCAGCTCAATTTTGCTGCCTCTCTCCCACTTACTGACTAGAACCCAAGTGCCAAAAGATCAGGGATCTCTTGAGTTTTGATCACTTCTGCTTCCATAAGGCCAAGACCAGTATCTGTTACGTATTAACTGCTCAACTGTTCTCCACCATGTACAAAGGGTTCTTCCTTTGTCCCTGTTCCCTTCAGCCAGCTGCAGTTACTTTGTGCACCTGGTCTCCTCCCAAAAGCCTTCCTTTGTTCCTTCTCATCTCCAAACCAGGCTGAGCTAGAATGTTCTTTTTCCAGAATTCCTTATGCTCCTTTTAACGTAGCAGCATCTAGTTAGTTTCGCGTTTCCTGGACAGTGTCTGTCAGCACCACCAAACGGGATCTTTGAGAGCAAGACAAGGGTCTCAGTAAGATGTGCTTCTGGAACTGCTCAGCACTGGGCAGCTACAGCACAGCTTCTCCCAATCAAAGAAAGCCCCTTCCAGGAGGTGAGGTCCAGCAGCAGCAACCACTAATAGAGCCCATGTCAGCTCACCCAGGAGTGGAATTCTTAAAGCCAACACAAGAAGCAGCTGGGCCCCAACAACCTCCAGCAAACAAACCCATACTTCCTGCCTCCTAGTGCAGCACCTGTTCCAGCCTCTGTTTTGAACCTACATCATTCCTGGGCTTCACTCATTTATTGATATAGTCATTCAGATATCCCCTGAAGTTCCTTTTTTTTTTTTTTTTTTTTTTTTTTTTTTTTTTTTTTTTTTTTTTTTTTTTTTTTTTTTTTTTTTGTACCAGGGATAGAACTCAGGACTTTGCACTTGTGAGGCAGGCACAGTGCCACTGAGCTAAATCCCTGACCCTCTTGAAGATCCTTTATACCCAGGACACAGTGCCAGGCATGGGGAATGATCCTGCAGATGATGTAAGAAGACGCATGCCTGGCTCTATGACATGGACAATAACCTGACCAATGCTAAGTGTTTCCTACTACCCCTCAACCAGCCTCCAAGGGTTGGACTCTGACCTCAGCAGCTCCCCTAGAACTTACCCCAGTATCCCTCACCCCAACACCACAAGTAGTAGTCTCTCAAGTGGATCTGAGCAGGTACCCTACAGCCTCTCCAGCTGCCTGGTCCAGCTGCTTTCCTGATTCAGTCAGCCCTTACTTTGGCCCTCCCCTGCTTTGGCAAACTCCATCTGGGAGCTACAGGAGCAAAGGCACAAAATATGGGCCCCCAAGAACCAACATAAACTTGAAAAACAAGGGAACCTACAGAAGAAATGAAGCTCTGGAGCAGCCTGCCTGCCTACCTTGACATAGATGATAGGGATGGTCAATTTGGCCTTGGTGAAATGGCGGGCCACCCGGTACACTGTCTCGGGCACATATTCCAGCACCAGATTTAGGTAAAGCTCATCTTTCTGGAGACAGAAAAGGAGAGGTTTGAGGTACTGAGAGCAAGGGAAAAGGGAAAAGGTATATAAGGCACAGTAAGGGAAAGACTGGATGGACCTCATGAGAAAAGCAGGCAGGAGAATGAATGGAGTCAAGGTGAAGCGAATCCCTCACCCTGGGCACCCCAGTGTCTCACCTTCTCCCCACTGGAGTAGAAAAAGTACCGCAGTCTCACAATATTGCAGTGGTCTAGCTTACGCATAATCTGCAGCTCTCGGTTCTTGGGGACAGAGGAAGAAAATCTCAATACAACCAACCCTCTCTCTCTCTGCCTCCACTCCCTAGTACACTCACCTCAGCCTCATTCCCTCTGGCCAACAGAAAAGGCAGCTGCTCTTTGTATCATATAGTACCAAGGCCCTTTACAGGCATCCTGCAATTCCTCACCCTAAACCTCCTCCCCTCTCACACAGCCAGAGGCCTATGGACTCATTCCAGAACACAGATGTGTTCTTTTCAGCCTAATTTTTAACAGTTTTCAACTTATTGCTGACATTTAAAAGCCAAATTACTTCATTTATAAAGGTTTCTCAGCTTCTCATGAGAAATCAGATGAAGCAGCCTACACGGCACAAGGAACCATAGACCATTATTGGCCATCCAGTTCACTCTGGTCCCCACCACTGCTCACTACTACTCTCCCTGGAGGCATCTCAGACTTTGAACTCTAGCTTGGATCTTGAGTCTGACTCCAGGCTTCCAATTCTCATATTTGGACGTATGCTTCAGCCTCTTCCCAGAAGGCTCAGTCTGAGTCTTCTCCCCCATTCTCTACTCCCCCCTGGGGCCTCAGAGCTCCCTGCCCCCAGATCCCTCTCACTTCTAGAAGTCAACCCCAACCGAATTCTGACATCCTGGAGCTCATCCTGCCTGACAGTCCTTACTGTCCAGACCCAGGCCTTGACCCAGCCTCAGTTCCCCGACATCCAGGGTAGCCTAGGTTCCAAATACCAGTCCTCCAAATACCGGTTATCCTTCCACTGCCATCTCCTCCATCTCCATCTAGTTCCCTGAGCCTCTGCTAGTTCACAGATCACTGCTGCCCAAGTGAAAGAGGGCAGGCACCCCTCCTCAAAAGGGACAGGGCCCCACACCAACACAAGTAGTTTGTGAACACATCTTGGGCTGAATTCTATCTTGCAGTGGTCAAACAAACACCTGAGGCAGAGTGCTACCTTCAGCACTACCAGCATCAGCCATGCCATTTCCCTTCTCTGGGAAATGTATATCCAGGTGGTTAAGATGAAGGGCTTGGGAATCAAACAGGCTAAATTCTAGTTCCTTGACTAGGGCATTCTATATGCAAACTCCATTTCTGCTTACTTAATGTGAGAATAACAACAGCACCAACCTTCACAGAATCTTTAGATACATTAAACAAGAACTCCCCTATCAAGCACTTATATTAAGCAAATGCCCAATAAATGTCAGCTTTCAACTCCTGGAATCAACTTTTCCCACCTTCCATTCAATTCATTCCCTTTTTTCCCCTTCTCTCGCTCACTCAGGTCCCCTGTAAAACCCCATTCTCTTGCTGGGAGCTCTCACCAGCTATGCCTAGTCCCAAAACTGCTCATTCCATTTTTCCCAAGCTACCTTGAACCTCTTGTCCTGAAGAACCTTCTTGATAGCCACCAGCTCCCTTGTCTCTGCCAGTCGTGCCTGGTACACGACCCCAAATGAGCCATTGCCAATCACTTTGATGTCTGTGTAAGCCACTTCTTGAGAGCGTTCTGGGCCTTGGCCTAGAGTGGCTACCACTGTGGTCACCTTCCCGCTGTCACCTGGGGAATAAAGGGTACACACAATCCACTGACATTTCCCCACCAGCCACCCCTCTATCTCAGGGCTGTGGGAAGGAAATCTCTGCAAAAAGCTTATTGGGGCTTCTTTGTCCTTTCCCACTCTCTGAGGAAACCCTCAGCATCCTTTCCCTTCTTTCCTTCAGAAAGCCCTAAATCCTGCATCCTCCTATAAGGGAGGACAGTGACACCTAAACCTCTTTGCTGTATAAGGGTTGACAACCCCTAATTTCCACTTCTAGAAAGCATCAAATCACTGGTCCCTATTGATACTGGGAGACACCATCAACCCTCAGTGTTGAATCCATGTACAGTGGACTCGTTGCCCTCTTGCCCCTCCTGTAAGAAAGGCATGACCTAATATCTTCCTGAAGGAACAGTAACCCTGAGGTACTCCTACTTTAGGAAAGTAATGATTATTTTCACAACCTGGAGAACAGTGCCTTTAAATCTTCTGTGGTAGAACTGGTAACTTCACCACTGGCTCCTGGTGACAAAAATAAACATGCTCTCCTGATATGCAACTAGTGACTTGGCCTCTACTTTGGGGGGATAGCTACCCCTGCCCAAATACATTATAGATCAGGATCTAACCCAACCTCTCTATTTATGTGGTGCAGAGCAGCACAAGATGTGAGAATAGTGAGCTCAGTCTCTGTCCTTGGATGGCTATTCCAGCCTCAGACCCTTTGAAGGGTTACTCAAATTCCCAAATCCCATTCTCTGAATGACAGCAAACCTTGGCGCCATCCCTCGGGGACAGAGGCCTTTTTCATTTAGGAAACTAACAAACCAAATCCACTTAGAGGAGCCAGTGACACTTTCTTTTGGAGGGAAATATATTCTAATTCCTATTTTTTCCAGAGCCAATGAGAGCATACCCCAGAAGGATTAAAGAGGCACAGCCTCAAATCCTTGGTGAGTTGTGATCCACCCTTCATTTCATTTTTGCTAAAAAGCCCCCCCCCCCGCTTTTTTTTTTTTTTCCTTTTCTTTTCAAGAACAGGGACAATGGACTTGTTTTAAAGGAGATGCTCAGGCAGGAGATTTAGCTCAGTGGTTCCACCACCTGCTTCATAAGCGCAAGGTCCTGAGTTCGATCCCCAGTACCAAAAATAATAAATAAATAAATAATAAAGGGTATGTTGACTCCCCATCTGTTCGTTTCTAAATAACTCTATTAGTGGCTACCATTGGGGGCACAGCTCTAGATGTTTGGGTTGGTAATGATGTCAGGTCTTATGTTTCAAACCTGGCTCTGTTGGTTGGAGGCACAGTAACCCCAAATCCCGACCTGTAAAAAATATACCGTTCAAATCCCCATGCTCTAAAGGAGCGTAAACACAGATCCCCTTTTTACGGTGGTGGTGGTGGTACAGTGATCTTATTTTTGTTCTCTTAGGAGACAATTATCCTAGATTCCCCGTTTGCAAGTGACTATGACCTCTGATCCTGTTCTCTAATGAATGGCAACGTCAGATTTATGTTTTTAAAGCTCAACGACCCAAGACCTTGGCACTAAAAGAATCGAGAACTGTGACCCCTGTCTGTCTGGGTGTTAGTAATTCTTACCCTAAACTCCAAGTGATGGTAACTCTAAACCCCTTTTTCTGGAAGGGAGAGAGCTCAAGATTCCAGTTTGAGGGAAGCTCAGTGACCTCGAGGTCTTATATGAGCACATGAAAGAAACAAATCGACATTTAAGGAAGACCTTGGCACTAAAAGAATCGAGAACTGTGACCCCTGTCTGTCTGGGTGTTAGTAATTCTTACCCTAAACTCCAAGTGATGGTAACTCTAAACCCCTTTTTCTGGAAGGGAGAGAGCTCAAGATTCCAGTTTGAGGGAAGCTCAGTGACCTCGAGGTCTTATATGAGCACATGAAAGAAACAAATCGACATTTAAGGACCATAGGAAACCCAGATCACAAACCCCAACGGGCACCCCTAATACTCACGGCCCAGCTTCACTCCGGGCGGCGGGAAGCTAGTGCCCG